CAGCTAGCTTAATCACTGGTAATCACAAGAAGTAGGTTTGTATGACCGAAAGATAATTGAGCTGATTTTTGATCGTGTATCATGCTTGGCCTCAATAGTAGAATCATACTATGACCGCCACTCCAATATATATATATATATATATATATATATATATATATAGGAGTGGCGGTCATAGTATGATTCTACTATTGAGGCCAAGCATGATACACGATCAAAAATCAGCTCAATTATCTTTCGGTCATACAAACCTACTTCTTGTGATTACCAGTGATTAAGCTAGCTGTGGGTCCTTGTTGGTGTGCACTGTAGTCACGTGTCTAAGCACAATCAATTGAGAGGTATTCGTGTCCTCATCTACAACTGTTCACCAAAAATCGAAGGAAAAGAAAATGGCAAAGTGAAAGTGAGTAGATCCATTCATATGACCGGGAAAAACGGAATCAACTAGGCAACCTCACTAGGTCTGTTCTGTTCTCGATCGTAGATATAGTCCAAGGCCCAAAGGCTGACTCAGTACGTATAGTATAAATCCCCGGGGAGGAGTTCGGTCACCTCTCGGGATAGCGGTTAACTAAATAGGCGTGCTCAGTGTGAGGTTCCGCTTTTACTTGAATGGTTAGCAAGCAATTTGACGGATGCACTCATTTGCATACAAATTTTCCTTTCACGGGAGACTCAAATTATTCCCAGCCGAATTTCTTTTTTACGATGTTTTTTCAACTGAATGTGCTGAGCCGGGCCGCCTCATGCTTTAGTTAGTGCGATATTCGGGATTTCGGAATGCATTATATAGACGTAATACACTACTCATGAGATTGCTGAAAGCTCTATGAATGACAGCTACCAAATTTCGCCCACAGGTGAATAATTTCATTGCCTTGCCCGAGTGATGTGTACCTTCAAGGGGGCTTAGCAGCCGAGATAGCGCTTGACCACCAGTGAAGCGTAAACTAGCTTCATTTACCAAAAAGTACGTTCTTGTCTCAACGCATTCAACGCATCCCCCGGGTTAGAGGGTTTCGCTATATTAGCATCGTGATCTAAGTAAGGGGTCTGCACACTGCTTTATTTAGTGAGAAGTGCGTTCCTTGCTCGACTCCGGCCATCGCTTCTGAGTCATTCGAACGCCCGATGAGGTTGAATAAATCATTTATTTCCATACTTGCTGAGGCGAACAGGAGGTCGCAGCACGATTCTTATGAGTTTCTCACCTATGGTGTCCTTCAAACTAATGTACAGTACAGAGGCTCTCTCACTGGTCAGTTGGACTGATGTTCAGATGACGAAGCATGTTTTCTTTCAAAATTAGTTTTCGGAGGATTCGGGGAACACGGTTTCCATCTTGGAATTTTCGAAAATAGCGAAATAATATTCGAACAGGCAATCCGGTCAGGATATATTGAAAGCCGCAAATATGCAGTTTTGCCTTCTGATAGCCGCCGGAATAAGTAGTTCCGAAGGTCACTAGACCGTTGAACAGATTTAGGATGACTAAAAATGTCCCAAGTGTGTAACTCGAAGCTTGCGACCGAGCAGTGACAATCTTTCCCAGAAGAACCCCATTCCGACAGTTTCTGGGGGTTTGTGATTCCCAAACGGGAGATTCAGCTGGGATTCAGTTGAGAACAAAATGACGTGCAAAAGAATGCATTTCTCAAACGATTGGTCTGTTTCCAAAACCTCAACATCAATCATATTGGTACAAAACAAAGTACGTGGATGACTCCGCAAATTTCTGAAACTCTATGTGATCGAATTAACAAGCATTGTTATCGTTGTTCCTAATTGTTTGGCTTGTTTGAAAATCCAACCAAGTCCGTTCAAATAGCACATGCAAAGTGTAGCACTAGCATGTGGGGATCATCCACTTCATGTGGCTGGCCAAATGAGACGTTCTTTGAGGCACATGGTGAAGCCAGTAGAAGTATGGAATTGTCTGAAAAGGTGTGTCAGTGTTTTTTCTCACTAAATTGAGTTTCTGGACGTGCTTATGGCTCAAACAATCATGAGAAGACGTCCCATTCTTGGGCAAACGCTTTGTCATGTGGGGATTTCCGTATGGTAGTGAAGTACTCAGAAATGCAGACGACAATGATACAGAAATCTCTAGCCTTCTTTCATCGAATGTGAGTCTGAGCAAATATGTTGGTATCGGTAGGTATTCTCAGGATTACCCTAATTGTTCTTTTGTGTGAGACGATATTTGAGTTTCGGCGACGGCATAGAGAATGAGGTACAGTCTAATGAGAACCCGAAATTGAAGATGAGCTGACGGTGTTTACTTACGCCGAACGCATTCCGCAGTTTTCACTCGCTTGTTCACTTAACACACTCCCTTCAGTAAGCTTCATCTGACGACAGCATCATCAATTACTGACAACTAAAACATTGATGGACAAAAGTTAATTTCGTTTTTTGCTCAACTCCTATTATTACGGTAGTTTGAAGTAAACCAATACGACCACGTTCATGTTTTTTCTACATCCTAATACAACGTGGAGAAATTTCGCGCCTGGATGGTTTAATAAGTACACTTGCGAGAAGCTATTTACCGATCCCAAGCCTACACGCTCTTCGGTTAGCACCCTACCTCTAACACAATGCCCCGAGTAAGTCTACTACTCCTCATGGTTATGTGATATAATTTAGTCAGAATAACTTACAATTCCGAGGAAAGGAATGATGTACTACTCACTTGGAATATATTCGTCAAATCACGTAGGTTGAATACGTAGTGGAATCGAATTGCAGTTGGCAGAAATACTGCAGTGATCTTGTTGTGAGCAGCCAGACAAGCTTCCACCAGTGTCTCAACAGAACGAACCAACGTCATGGGAAAGCTGTTTCGTACAAAGTGTTGTTTAAGCACTGTAGAATAGATAGTTTTCACGGCCGATTCATCTGGGAAACTCAGAGCGAACACTGAGAAGTGGCGTTGCAACCGCGGTGTGATTGTGAAGCTACCAGCAGTTGGATTCATTGCTGCCACGTACTGAGTTTTGCTCACCCTCTTCAAGGTCAATTTTTGTCTATCGTAGAAGTGCCTGTGGTCAATATGTTGACGTATTAGTGTGTGCGGTTGGACAGTGAAGTATTGGTCAACCTTAAAAATATTGAAAAATAATAAAACAGCAATATTAAATTATTGGGGGAAATCCGAAATATGAGTGATCAATGTTCATATTATGACTGAGGATATCGGGAAGCCCCCAATGATTTTCAAAGACGGGATTCCTAGCGTATCCGAACCCTTGAGCGAAGTTGTCAAAAACAGACAAACTAAAGTTAGGGCATTTCTAACCGTCAGTTCGAATGAAAAATACTAAGCAATAGCAATATAGTGGTGTCCACAATAGTTTACCCCAAAATGGGAAGTTCACTCTGTTGGTGGAATTGGTCGGTGAAGGATGTGAACAAGCTTCACATAACTATACACTTGAAACAAAGCTAGACTTAGGTGGTCAGTGTGACACGCTGGAGGCCGTTGGAGACTGGGAGATAAGTATACCAAGGTGATGTTATGACAGGAACCCAATGAGAACTTCAGACATCCAGAGGAAGAAAGCTCACTTCTGGCATGTTCAGGTCGTCGATAAAGTAAATCAGACGTTTTTGTCCCGGTGGCCCATAGTTGATGCCAGCCTTTTTCTCCAAACTCTTGTCCAGAACGTCCTGCAACATCAGGCTGGTCGTGTAGAAATTGAACGGTATATTTTTTACCATGAAATCGTCGGAAAGCGAAGCAAATTTGTCTTGCATAATCACCGATTTTCCCGTTCCAGCTGCACCAACAAGCATGACGGGATGACCGGCTTCAATTAGCAAATCCAAGAAGAACCGCAGACGTACGACCTCTACAGTAGGTACTAGAGAAGCCTGTATGTGAAAAAGGAAAAAAATATCCGCTACAGAGCTTTTTGACAGAGTCGTTGCATGAGCTTGAGGAAAACATTTGACAGGCGATCGAATCTCCCACGCTTTTGAATCCAGAAGTCTACCAGAAGCCCCTGGATAACATTGACTAGAAGCAATACCAGGACCAATAGATTTGTCCTCACCATTTGCAGAATATCCATTTGAAACATTGCTCTTAAGCGCCCGAACTGTCTAAAACCTGTGACTAAATTGTCTAGCACGGTGGATTGTCCTTGGTCATATACTACTTATAAGGCTGATGGGAAAATTTCTATGCATAGTTCGATTTAAAAGTCAGTGTCTCTCAACAGAATTTTATTTTAGACCATCTGAGATTTTCGAATGCACAAGCGACGCAAAACAACCCTTCTGGCTGCTCGCTTCTCCGACGGGCTGACTAGCCCTGTGTTATGTCCTCATCCTGATGCCTAGACTAGTTATGTCTATAATCGGAGATCCTTTGTTGCATGCATATCACCTTAAAAACATGCGTCATCATTATTTATTGGATTACCTAGCAAATGCAACCCAGTTTTTCTCCTATGAGAGTTGATATTGTCATTCATCTCTACCGCAGTTATACCCACAAGCTCCATCAAGATCTGCAGAAAATTGAAACACGCCGACACAATGACCGGTTTTTTGTTTAAAAAACTTCTCAGTGTTAGACGAGTCTTTTTAGGGAATGAGAAAAATCACTTCGATATTTTACTGCTGAGGCGTTTTGACCCACATAGAGCACCTAGGTAATCGTCTTTGTCGATTTATGGATGAAGATTTCGCTAATTTAAAGGGACATTCAATACCGGTGAACGAGTAAACTTCGGAGCGCGTTAAAAAATGTCAGAAATCAACAAGACGACTGGGTTTCACTAAGCCACTCGAGCAGATGGGAGTCTGAGTGATTGGTCCACCTCTTCCTAAACTGGATATCAAGTAACTGTGAGATAACTAGAAGTTTTGAGCACACTTCAGGTTGACGGAAACTCGAAGACTGCGCCTACCTGATGAGCCCCAAGAAGGGCAAACCGGTCGTGGGTTGTCGAAGAGTTGTCAGCAACCCTGTGCGTAGTTTCCTTTATGAAAACACTTCAGGCATGTTGAATACACACAACTAACACAGTACAGTTCAACATCAATTCCTCATCCTCGATAAGCAACTAGATTATAGTTGCGAGTGTCTGTACTTCCGGCGAACTAGTTAATGGGAACCGGCCTCCTCACAGTGGTAAATATCGTGACGAAGCGATAAAATGGTTCAGATAAAAGTAACCTAAGGGATCTTCGTTTGACCCTCAATCGTTCATTGCAACCAGGTACTATGCCCAGTGTCCACTTTAACTATTTTGCGCAAGTAACAAGCATCAAGAACATTGTCAGCAACCTGTGCGTAGTTTCCTTTATGAAAACACTTCAGGCATGTTGAATACACACAACTAACACAGTACAGTTCAACATCAATTCCTCATCCTCGATAAGCAACTAGATTATAGTTGCGAGTGTCTGTACTTCCGGCGAACTAGTTAATGGGAACCGGCCTCCTCACAGTGGTAAATATCGTGACGAAGCGATAAAATGGTTCAGATAAAAGTAACCTAAGGGATCTTCGTTTGACCCTCAATCGTTCATTGCAACCAGGTACTATGCCCAGTGTCCACTTTAACTATTTTGCGCAAGTAACAAGCATCAAGAACAAATGCTTTGGCGTTACAATTTAATTGGCACATGCTCGCTTAGATCCTGGTAACAGACAGGTTAGTCGCCTACAAACAGCTTGCACTAACTTTTTCATCAATCTGTATCTTGTGAGATGAGACATCCGAGGGTTATATGTGAACGCCATGACAGCAATTGTTCCTTAGGACTATTTACCATGAAAGAAGATGCTCATCAAGAAAAATGGGAGAAAGGTGATGCTAAAGGAAAGGAACTCTATGACGGTCACACACAAAAGTAATGCAACTCCGCAAAATCTTTTCAGGTTGTCTGAGCCCAGTGTGAAAGTGTGTGTGTGCGAAAGTGGTACAAGAAACGGAATACAACTTCACCGTATTGTTAAATCCTAGCGGTTGCTCTCAAACAGAATATCAAGAATATAACCAACTTGCATTCATTATGACGAACTTTATATAACCTACCTCCAGTGGCACTTCCGGATCCAGTTCACATTTTGTAAGTCTGGAATTCCAGGGTTCGAACTTACGGCTCTGCAGACTCCAAACGAAGTCAAATACTCCACCGGTGGACGGAAACTTGACATGCTTGAATTCATTGAGCCACCATCGGGAAAATTCCACCCGGTAGTCCGCCAGCTGATCTTTGAATAAGGAGCCACCGAAAGCCCACACGCAACAGAACACAAACAGCATTTCATAGTTCTCTTTTGTAAATTCTCGCGTATCTTTCGACGCCATTTGTGCGTCCAAAAGACATTCAAGGAGATAGCATAGCATTTCTACGTGGGCGATATCCGGTATGGGAGTGATGCGTTTAAACTTTGATCGCACAACTTCTAGTGATGGACCAACATACTTGTCAAAACAAATCGACAACGCAGGTCTTTCTGTCCGGGAAAGCGTCTTCTTTGCACGCACCCGTTCATCAAGCCAACTGTGTACGTAGCTTGAATGAAAATAAAATTTTTTGTTTATCAGACTTAACAGCTGCTAGGTTGGATTATAGAATCAAGCTCCGACAGTTAAGGTTGAATGAGTGGACCAGGCATGAACTTGGGTTCTGGTTCCCGCCTCACTATATGAATGCATGTGCGCCTCGCAACTAGTTACGGATCGATGGCCATAGCTCGGCCAGTCCACAAGGCTCGTCAGGAAACAAGTCACCACACAGTCACTTTATCACATCTTCAGTTAAACATACATTTGCAATCGAAATTTCGTCCCTTAACTGAAGGCAGTCTATGCCGAAAAACCGAGAGGCACTGTAAAGCGGATTCATTCCTATTGGAACTCATCAACAGTGCACATCTCAGGTACCTCCATGGGGATTCGAAACCATGGCCTCCTTGCAAGTAATTGAAGACTAAATCACCCGGCCACGAGCGGCTGGCCAGTAGTGTGATCAACTCGCAATTATCTCGGACTCTCTTCATGCTATCAATGGACTAAAGGTACCTCAGAAGGAAGAATAAGTCAAAAACGTGAGCTTTCCAATCGAGAAGTCACTTTGGGAACCAGTCGACAAGTGGTCAAGTGACGTGAATCCCGTGACCGTAGGATGAGTGATACTATACCGTCTAAGTTCCAGTTAATCACACTGCTGATCAGGCGCTCAGAACCTCATACTACCAAGTAAGTTATTTGAATTGCACCATTTCGAATGCTATCATCAAACGCATTACGTGTCGTATAAGTGAGAAGTCACTATAAGAAATTAAAATTCTAAAAGCAGGACACTGAATATAAAACCGGACCACAGCGATGAAGGTAAACGCATTCGCTGGCTCAGGTCTTCTTGCGATCAAAACCCTGGCATGAATCGTTACTTATTTGATAAGAGACCTCGAAATGGTGCATTTACGCACACACTACCTTTTCTTCTGTAGCTTGATAGTAGCCGGGAGACCGATCCAGCAAATCTCGCTGTACTTCATCTGGTGCCCATTCCAACAACTTTTTAGGCATAAGTCTTTTCCCTACGCACAAACGATAATGAACATTCGGGTTAGCACTTTCTGGAGGACAGCTAGTTAATGATTAGTAACCAAGATCAGGGACACTGTAGTCAGGAGCGAAATGCATCGCGCATTTTGAGTGCAGGTCGATTGCAGTCTGAGTCAGTGATGCAGCCTTAGAGGCTTTTAATCAATTGGAAAAGCTCTGGAACCGTTTGAGAAGTCGTCATTTCGGAAGGGCTTGGCAAACAATCAGCAGTTTTCATTTGGACAATTTGGTGACCTGCTCACTCGGCCTGATGAAGCTTTTGAGTCAAAAGCGAAATGTTTCCGAAATAAAAACTACCGATTTTTTACCAAGCCCCTCTGAAAACAGCCCTAGAGGCATTCCGCTATTCCTCACTATGCAACGCTACTTTGAGTGCTGTGCGTACCAAATCGACATTGATCGTAAATTCAGTAGACAGATTTCCCCTGAGTGATATCATGCAATTTGAACGTCCTCAGTGCGACTGGAGCCATACAAGCTTTCTGCGCACCATGTTTAGGGTGATTCAGTCACACATGATTTAATGGAAGTGTAAGGATACTAGATAATTTTAAATCGATCTTTTCATCCTGTCAGTGAATCCAGCCTATGCCAAAAAACCAAGAAGCACCGTATAGCTGTTTCCTCCTTATTGGGACTCATCAGCAGTGCGCATCTCACGAAACTCGAAAAGCTTCGAACCCACGACCTTGTGGCCAGAGGCCGGACACTTAGCCGTTCGGAGACGAGCGGCTACACAGCAGTGTGATTAGCCCTTACTTAGAGAGGATAGGGTGTCACTCGTATTTTAATCACAGAAACCATATCACGTGGTCACGTATTGACTGACCCCTTGAGTGGCACCTAATCAGATGGAATTTTCACCCTTCTTGTGAAATTATTCTTCCTCTGGCCTACTAATCGATTGCTGTTGGTATGGGGAAATTTGAACAAAATTTGTTTGGGAATTACGCTTCATACAACCCATCTTAACATCATGCGACCGCTCCATTTGAATAGAATGGGACATTACCTTAGCCTATCTTAAAACACTTATTCAAGGCATCTGTCTCCGAAACTCGTAACAAAAAGATCTCGCCAGTATGATACACGATGCTACTGTTTGCATAATTTTAAGGATGTATTTATTCGGAACGCCCTCAAACATCCTGGTAGCATCTGAATGTTCTTTCTTTCAAATTCGTTTTGATTATCTTCTCACAGTGACTTCTGAAGTCTTCTTGACCGATTAGTCCACTAACAACTCTCCAGATACCCTAGAACGCGCGTCAAGCAAAGGATCCTAACCTGTTAATCCACCATTCCGGTATGTGTACATTTCCGGGCTAGCGCGATAGGGCACTATCCTCCTGAAACCAGACACCACTCGTTTCTACCAGCTGTGAAACTCGATACTGTTAGTAGTACTTACCGGTCAAGTTGTCCGAAAAATAGAAACGATCCGGCAGTTTTTGTGCCGGAATACCCACTCATACAATCAACTTAGCCTTATATTTAACGTGGGAAGACTTACAGTGACGTGGCGAGCATCAGGCCGGAAACCCAGTTGTGCAAACTTTGCTATTGAAATTTTTGGCTGATTGGTCGGTTCACCGAATGTAGAATGATTCTACAGGGTCTGAAAAACAGCGCGGAAAGCCAGTTAGCTTTCCAGGTTGTATGTGTAAACTTATAATGCACATTCTTTGGTGTTACGCTACTGGGCACTTTTCCGTACACTCCTTTCGAATCGATAATCTGCTTCCTGAAAAATTTTATACAGTGACGTCTTGCCTGAGTTTTCTCTCCTGCTAGGGCATTGGTATTTCGTCGCAAGCTCCAAAACGTCCCTTTCTCTGATTGGTCATGTATCATCGAGAACTGCGCCACACCAGTGCGGGGCCACGCTATCCACTCAGCATCACTACCCTTACTCGATCACTCACTGGCAGACAGAACCGGCTTGTATTGGACGCTCGATGCCGTCCAAGTTCCTTCTCCATTTTCATTGCCATCAGTTCTAGTTATGCACCAACTCTTTTTACAACATTCAGACGCTCAGAGCTTCGAGCACCGATCAGGTTTCCCAAGTTTGAACGCAGTTGTCATGCCGACTACACAGCACACGCTATCGCTCGACAGAGTTTGGACAGGCCTTGTCACTAACGTACTGATGCGGTTGGCTGACAGCCGTTAATGGACTCTTGAGAGTGCGTACAGAGCCGCATTTCAATGCATGCTTTCAAAGGGCTCATAGTAAAATAATCTATTGGGCGCTCAGTATTTGCACAATGAAATTGAGTTTTTAAAGGTACGATGGACTAAAACAGACAGGTAATTGAGTTCAGAATACCAGTCCAAACTTTTGAACCCCATCTAGGTATCCCGGGGTCCCAGTGGTGCTATGAAAGTATTCCAACAGAGTTTTCCCGTCAGAGGTATGATTGCCTCAGTGGACAATGAGATTTGGTGAGCTGCGAAAATATGAAGGTAGCTAAGGACGGTTCTTGGTTTGAGCACATACGCTTAAAAACTTTTATTCCACTCACAGAGGTTTTGCACCTAAGATCATTGATGTTCCTGTTCTTCAGAGGCGTAGACAATGCGGCGTTCCAATTGAGCGCACCGGTATTTTTTCACGAAATGGGGAGGCTTTCCGGATCAACCTTACTGAACGCATCATCAGCCTAAATGAGCACGCCCGAAGCCCTGCATGCTCAACCATGTCGCATCAGTCGCATCGCAACTGAAGGGTGATTCTAATCCAGTGTTTCGACGATCAAGGATAGTGATATGGTTATCATCTGTGGCCTGCAGTCGGGTGGAAATAAGGTCATTATGGCATATTCGTTCTCACACCACTCTTTTTGAACAGTTCTACTCTGCTGGCGATTTTCGCTTGGTCAACATAACACAGCGAAGCACTGGAATTGAGGGTGAATGTCGAATACAGTAAAAGCAGACCCTTGACGAGAAGTAAATCGACAGTGTGCATAATACCAAACAGGAGTGCCAACAGTGGAATGATAATGAACAGAGACCGGACATACAAGCCATCGTCGATTGAGCAATTGAGCAGTGCTTCGAAATCAGATTTTGTTGCATGGCAAGCGGAACAGGCAACCTTTCGGGCTTCGCTTGCTCACTTCATTTAAGCTTTCTGACCACATCGTCTGTATATTCGCCTCGTCTCCGTTTTCCATATTTCGAGCGCTTTTGGTGGTATCGACCGGTTATCTTTGGGTTGACTGTTTATTCGGAATATGTACCCCTGAGAGCAGGGTAGCCGGAACGTACATACACCTGCTGTTTTGCACTCGAACAAAGTAAAACTGCTATGTTCGCAATTCGTTACCCGCATTTAATTTCTCTAACAAATCCTAAACAAGGAAAGCGTATTGCACTATCAAATTACATGTACTGACAACACACGAATCATCAATACCAGGATAGTGGACAACAAATTCGCCACGCTAATCTTGTCTTTTTCTGTCCAGAAAATCTGAAAGTTTGCCTTGTGGCAAGTGGCCGAACCGGAAGACTTGAGTATTAAATGCTTTTGGATGATTCCCAATGTACCGAGACGTTTCTACGACAGTGCGGCATCATCGTGATAAAATCTTCGTTTGGTGGAAACATACATTTAGACACCTGCTCATCTTTGTTGCTGGGGTCGTGAAAATATTTATGATGGGATCAAGCAAACACTTTGACTCAAATGCAGATCTCAGGCTCCATTTTAGGTGCAAAGTGAGGGATTTCAAATGGATTTATCATAAACTTTATCATTGTCGCTGTGTTCGTGGACGGTACAGACGGTGGCCTCCAAAGCAGTGTTCGTTCTAGTGTAGGCCTTATGTGGTAAGGTCACAACGTTACTACACAAACCTGGGCCTTTCATAGTGCCATAAAAAACGGAGGTATATCTTTTACTATGGGGTCGTATAATCCATAGAACGTCGCTCTTCAAAATACCCCCATCCTCCAGTATAAGACTAGGTAGGCCATTCCCCTTGACCTGTCTCTGTTCCGGGGAATCAATGTAGTCTGAGCTATTTAGCTCATGATTTTGGATGCCGGACGGAGGTATCCTCATAGATACATGGAAAGCAACAATGGACGCAAAAATATTGACACTGAACCTTCTCGTACGTTTTTTCTTTATAGTCTGTAGAGTCTGTCACTCGTATCACCTTCTACCAAAACGTTTAGGATTTTTGTCAGACTAGGAAAGCTGAAATATCCGCAGTGGGTCACTTGGTGCTTTTGATGGTTAAACAGTTTCCGTTGCGTGTATCATCAAAGTAATAAACTATCTAATTCATTGATAACTGTTACTTACTGATTTGCACCAGTGTTCATCTGTGTTGTCAAAATCAAAGCAGTGGACGTTTCAGTCGGGACTTATCCCCTTAAGTCAATGTAGCATTGAAATCTCGTAGCTGGATTAGTAGGTAGCCCAAATGAGCGATCCTCGCGGTGCACTATGTTGGCGTTCACATCACTCTTGATTGAAGTCCTAACCCCAATTATTCTGGTTAACCAGTACCAAAGCGAGGAAGCGCCTAAAGTATTTTTCCTCTCTTACGAGAGCTCTCGAGCAGTGTATTTCCTTCGCCTAGTCTGGATTGCAACCCAGGACATCATGAATGCAAGAGTAGCGTGTTATCACTGCGTCACCAGCGCCAATTGAACACACATGATTGATGATGTTGAAACTCGAGTTCAGTGTCTCCCTCCGGCGTGATCCACACGAAATAACTGCGTCAACTGCGAGGGCTCTGAATACCAATTCGTGCTCATTGTGTTACTTGTCTGGGAAGTTTTGAGAACTGGATCAATCGATCGGCATTACCAAGACAACCACTGGGTCATTGCTCGGGTGGTTGGATTAATAAAGATTCCCGATTTGAGGTGGGCCAACCGAAGTAATCGTGTTGAATAAGAAGAAGAGCCGTTCAAACGAGTAGTGAGAAAACAAATCCAAAGAATGCCGCAGCTAGCCATAACGTGTCGTAGCAGCTATAGAGCTTGAAACAATCCAAAACGAATTTTAGCCACACTCCATCTATGGTTGAATTCCTTTTCGGTGACTTTCAAATCAATCTACGATTAACTGGTCCCACTAAGTTAGATCTTGGTTATTCTAACATTCCCCTATCCATCGCGCAACCCCACTGGGAAGCCCTGACTGACGGGCCAATCGACCGACACAACCACTTATGCTACTACTGGGTCGTCATTCGAGGTGTCGGGCGTTCCGTTCACACCACCCAAGCGCGAACATGTTCACCTGTTCAGACCTAAAAATTCGGACGAGTCCAGCGTGCGCCGGTGGAACGGTGGCAACACGCCCGCCTCACGTGTCAGATGTGCGGAGTTCGAACCCCGGTACTGCTGAGATATGCACTGCTGATGAGCTCTAATGAGAGGAAACTCAACTCCAGTGCTTCCCCCTTGAGTGTGGACTCACCAAGATGATTGCACGAGGACGATTGTTCTGACGAGAGGCATGTGAGTATGTGCTACACCAAATCCCACGACCACCAACACCCAAATGAATGGGAGCCGTCAGCCGAAGGATCGCACAAGGAATCAGGCAACGTGAACTGTGATTGAAAGACAGTGTGTGTCCAGTCAGTCACATCGCTGTTCAGCAACTCATGGCCAACTGACATAGTTCTCTGTTGCTGGCACGGAGATCATGGGTGAAAATCAACCTGGAGAACCGTGGGATGGACATTGCCGATGATCCCAACACGGATGAAACAACAGTGTGCAGTGCCTCTCGCATTTTCAGCATAGACTGATTTGACATGCACGATACCAGCTCAGTTGAAACTTGCACATCTCCGCACTACTTACAAACAAATTACGCAGGCAGGACAGATAGTGGTGATTTTGAGAAAAGAGTATAAATATCGGATGAAGGATTAACATGGTGACTTCCGTCGATCTGTTCGACGAGCTGCCGATATCTTAGTTGACTTCAATGATACAGCCACCTGACCAATACATAATAAAAAAGTATTGACAAAATAACTCACGGAATCCAGCCCAGGTCACCAGGATTGATGTACAAAATACCAGCTCGGGAAACGGTAGCCGGTGTGGCCGTTTTCAAGTGACTGATTTCAAACAACAAACGCATGCTGTCCGTCAGTGGGATGCGTTCGTTACTGGCCAGCGTCAAAACCTTGTTATCATCCATGACCGTGTTGAGTGATTCGATCCACATGGGATCGATATCTCCATCCAGAACAATCCACTTCGGATCGGGTCCAGTCATGTTAGCCAGATCACGCATGACAACAGAGAACAGTCCTATAAGGCATAGTGTTGATCGTGTGAAATAGATTACCATGAGAATGGTACAAAAATCGCATGGTGATACATCCCAAAAAGTAACCTAGACTGCTCATTATCTAGTCAGCTTCTTTAGCAGCGCCTTTTACTGAAGGGCATCCCCAACCAGTTAGCCTGCTCCTTTACATAATGAACTCTGCAATATATCGATGCCCAGTGTATACCATACCAGACTACTGTGCCCTTGCTACATGGCTTGAAGACACGTTCCGGTAAGTAGAAACTCAATTTCAGCCAATAAGCATACGCCTCGGCAAGATATCACCTGATCGATGATCCAGTCACAGAGCCCAGAATCAAGACATGGACTGGTCGCTAAATCACTGTCTGTGTTTGAGATCACACCAGTCTCAGTTGACTTGAGGTGGGCACCGCCTTACACTCGATGGGTTCAAAGGCAACGTGAATTACGATTACCTTCTTTGCCCGCTAGTTGTATCGACTCACCGCCATCAAACTAGCCAATAAGGTAGGTTTAGCACCGAAACAGTGAAGTAGCTCGGAGCTACGTCTACCTGTCGAACAGCCAGCAGAGTGTAAAACAGGAAGTATTACTGATTTTCACTCATGGTTGCGGTATCAATTAGGCCACAACATGGCAGGACGCAACTCCTGCCAAGTGGGCTGGCTTCGTATCCCTGACCCTACCAAGCAAACAATGGAAGTATTCAAATCAATCGCGTGCACCACGAAACCCTTGGTTCGCTACGGCTCTTATGAGTGATAATCTACTGAAATAATCTGCTGCTGATAATCTGCTGAGAGAGAACAGTGGAGCTAGTAAGCGTGAAGCGACAGACAAATGATTACTCGACGAGAGTTTGGGAGACTGCACCCAAGCTTCCAGGACGGGATAGAGTTCGAAATCGTGCTCTGAATGATGCAAAAATAAGGGAAATGGTTAGCAGGGTGGAAAGAACGCGAACAACACCATTGTCCGTTTTACACAGGTGACTAGCTATATGAGTTTGATAGCACTGGCCAGATGCATTGATGAGTACTTACATACAATGGAAAACTTAGTGTCAGACGATGAACTCAGAAGATGATAAGCGACTCAAAAAAAGGCACGTATGACAGACTCGCAGTGGGAAACCGATGAAAGAAGAAATTTGATTTGTGCTGTTGTCCAAAGAGGGTCGCATACAAGCCAATGCTGTGACTAGTGGGTGTTGGAACCGTTGAATCGTTTTAGCTCACATGATGTCCGCAAACAGATCATTGTTGGTTCCGTGCCACCTGGCCTGGAGTGAGTCTTCGCAGAGAGACACTTACCTTAATTTTGTGATACTGATACTCTCAGGGCCCTAATCGCCCGCTCTCCAACCTATTAAAGGTAAGCACTGGCGCGAATTTTATCAAGCTATCCATTCTAGGCGTATAGAGTATATTGAGATGATATGAAGAATTATGTGCAACAGCCCTATCAAGATCTGCTTCAATGAGATCCGACCGGATAGCTTAGTAGATAGGAATGACGGTTGCAGTTTCTTGGATCAGGTGGCTGATATCTCCAAGCCCAAACTACCGTCGAAAACTGTGTCCAAATGATTAGACACTTATCGCATATGTATGTCAGAGCTTCAAAATATGATTATATATGAGATATCATTCCACAGTCCATTGAGAAGAAAGGGATCAGAGTATGGGAAACTGCACATCTTCAACTCGCACTATGCATGCCTGGCCCTGCTTACCATCACAGATACTGAGTTGAGGGGACTCTGTTTTTTATTTCACATCTGACGCATGTTTTTTCAGTAATCAGAGGTCCGGACAGATGTGATGTTTGTGGGTCATGTATACACCGCACTCGCTTGAACAGCCCTCCCCTTATCTTGACTGCTCGCTCGGATCAGCGAGCAAACCAACGGCCATCTTCGCTACCCGAGCTGCTAAAATACTCCTCAACAAAAAAATCGATTTCCAGTTTTTTATAGCTTCGCATGCCCGAACAGATCGCGTCAAACAGGAAATACAAGGCAGGGCTTGACTTGTGTGACGGAGTGATGAGACAGTGAAAATAGTGTCGAATACCCGGACTGTAAGGGCTTCCACCGTTGATTGAAAACGTTCACTGGAAAGTCGAGAAACAGCACTAGGAACTGAGTTCACTATTGTACGACTATGAGCAAGGGCTGACACAGACCTAATCCAATGGTTCGATACTTCCCGTCGTGTGGAGATCTGTTCTCGATGGGGGTCGAATATTTGGTAAAAACCAATGCAGCTCGAAGTTTCCAGCTGAGATGAAGTCCAGGTAATCTCATGACCCAGGAAGACCGCACTTAGAGGAAAGTGACTAGTTTGGAAAGCCCGTGCTTCTATTTCCGCCAAAAATATGATCAAAATATGATCAAAGATCTATTTCATTACTTGTCACAATCCTTGCGATGCAGCTGGTAAGGGTAAAGCTGTGAAGACCTCATATTCAGACATCTTCATCTGATGTCTAAAGCAGAACCTACTCTTCAGAGTATTCAGCTCATAGTTCGCAGTGGATTGTTGTTGGTGTAGACATTCCTCAGTCTGGGTTTCATAATGACTGCAGACTCCTGGACCACCCGACCCTGTGTGTCACATGACCGTTCGTCCAGATTTCGTCATCAGCTTGTTTTCTGTACGAACAGTGATTTTCCAGGTGATAGAATACACCACTCTCTGTAATCAACCAGGTAGGCCGTCATCGTGACTGCAAGCGCATCTGTGCAATACCTACAACCAACAGGTCGTAAAATCTGACGCCCGTCGATGCGATGCCCCGTTCGAACGACTTGACAAGAAAGGAGTCGCCGTGCCTCGATTGGTATCTGGGCTTCATACACCTAACACCCGAACCACATGTTTCTACTGTCCGTCGGAATATCTTAGACAGTGGACGGCTGTGGCTTTTGTGCTATTGGGTGTGAGATCGACTGTGTCCCACTGTCCCTTAAGTCTCGGTCAGATTACACAAGTGTCCTTTCTGAGAGTGTTCGATTTCTAGTGTTGATTGGCTGATCAAAACATCAGTATGGTCGAGATTGCGACTTTTGTCCGTTTACGCCAAACTTGTCAGTTTTATTCGAACCATGTGCCTTCGGTTCTCTATGAATCGGTCCCAAATCCCTCATATCGCTGATTTATTTCAGCTCAGCCCGGCCCAGTCCAAACGGGACCTGAACCAACCGAACGTACGCTTTGTTGAGACGTCCGCTGAGTGGCCCGCCTTTTTTACCTCGATCTGAACGTTCGATTAGGTTCTCTTGCCCCTCCCCCCACGGCAAGTTGAAGCGGTGTGGTTAGATAATGTAACCGTTGTTGAACGCTGCCGAAACTAATAAGTGGTGTGGTGGGTGGTGGTGATCAGATGTTCGTTGGGAAGAGCAAGCCTTCTGCGAAAAATGCACAGTAGACCAAGGCGAGAATTTTCTGGCGTATGACTGAACCTATGGGATGCCGGAAGGGCCACCAAACTCACAGACGGAAAACACGTCGAACTGGTCCGCTATCATTTTTTCTCTGCAGCAGACAACCGAGGCGCTGATTGAGAATAGACGGAGGTGTTAACGGGAGGCTCAAGTGATTCCGACCGAATCTGTCATCTATGGTAGCCATCATATGAATGTACCGCAAAATTCTGTCCCGTTTTTCAATTAGTACGATATTCGTAGTATCGCAGTAAATTTCCTTGATGGAACATTACTCATAAGGTTGCTGACAACTCTTCGGTAGCCCACTACCGGTTTCGCCCTCCTTGAGGCTCATCAGGTAGGCGCAGTTCCCAACTTAGTTTGCAATTTCGCCAATTTCGTGCAGTAGTAGAACATAAGGTAGAACATAAGTAGAACATAAGGTTGACGGAAACTCGGGGACTGAGCCTACTTGATGAGCCCCAAGGAGGGCGAAACCGGCCGTGGGCAGTCGAAGAATTTTCAGCAACCTTATGAGTAGTGTATTACATATATACACGTATCGCGATATCTTGAATATCGTAGCAGGTGAAACGTGAGGCGGCATGGTGCAGCACATTCAGTTGCCTGGGGACATCACAAACTAGAGGTTCAGCTGGCTTCCAGGTGAGTCTCTCGCAAAACCAGAATGTACTGTATAATCTACCTCCCCCACAAGCTGTTGAGATATTCGGTCAAATAGAGTACTCTAAACTTTGACATAAATCGCACCACGAGGTGTTCTTTCTTCCAGTGTTTACCTATCTGGCTGTTTTTGGGATAGGTGCACCGTCGGTGCCTACACTTTAACACGAAGCAACGCTGCCGTCTGTTGCCGTTCATAAGCCCCATCAGATGCTTCTCGAATGCTTTTCCAAACGTTGACCGAGCAATGAGTGCAGTCACCACGTTGCACCATTCCAGTCATTCACTGACCGTCCGACCACTCGCTTTTGTCAGTTGCTTGTTTGGCCGCCTCCTAAACAGACCAAATGAATCGCAAATAGTGGTCAGTCGAGTTGGGGGGGGCACGGTAACCATTGCAGGCTTGGAGTGAACATACTGGCAAAAACAGCGTAAATGCCTCACTTTGTGGGCCTAACACTATCCGAACTACCAACCACGTTCTCCGGTCTCCCAACCCTGCGGCCTCTCAAAGATGTGTACACGTTCGCGTACCGCGCGCGCACACATCTGGTATCAGCACTGCTGGGGCGTACTTCAGAAGCACGTGGAAAATGCGCGTTCGTAGAGGACTGCAGCCAATCATATTAAAGTCATGGGGTGCGGAATTTCTCACTCTCATTTCAAATAAATTGCTAGGTTTGTCAAAGAACACTGGCTGGATGGGTATGTGCCTTATTTGCTGCTACTCTGACTTAGCGTCGGATACTCGTAAACGATCTCGAGTGCATCCTCAATACATTCACACTACTGTGATACCCAGTGGATGTCGAATGACGGGAATGAAATTCCGCTGAGTAAGCCCTGAGCCTGATTATTACAGGGAACGTAACGTATGGTTATCATGGAAGAAAGCGTAGCATCCATAGAGACAAATGATTTGTTGAGACCAAAAACATAGCTTTTGGGTTGCTTACCGAAATTCCTCCAATATACGAATCACAGAGGAATTTGATTCGTCGTTCTTTTGCTCCCAGCTTTGACCGAAAACCTACAACCACCGTTCTTGTTGAATTCCCATCATTTTCTTTTGAACACTCTTCCCAACCCAAAGACAAAGTGTTGAACTCACGTTTCGTTCATTCAGTCACTTTATATGAGCACATCATTAACTACCAAACTGTTTCAATAGTATATACTTCACCAAGGCTCGCGGGAAATAAAGTAGTAGACCCATCATGAACCCTTTAGGTAAACTTAAGTTGCGAGTGGTGACTGCGGTGATGTAAAACGACGATGACCCGTGCAGGAAGCATGTGCCGGCATCGAGGTTGGTACGCGTTTCCGTTGTGCTATAACGGTAGACGTAATGCAATTATCGAAACGAGTTTGGGAAGCATGGATCAACAGGAGGTAGAACGAACCTAACCTGGGTAGGGGGAGTGGGAATTGCAGTATTCAAGCTGTGTGCACACAAGGTCACCAGGATGCAAACGTAGACCGCTGAAAGTCGTACGAGGGTGACAATACTTAGATCACAGCTGGCAATCCAGGGACGGTTAATTGCAGCACCAATATGAACTGATTTTATCACTGCAAATGTGAGGAATCTAGACGACTAGATAGCACGTTAGTGAGTGGCGGTTCGCTCACGTGGTATGAAGTCCGGCAATGGAGGGGTACGAGAGCACGGGCGCCCAAATGTGTTCTGGCTGTGCACTATATGGTACGTGCGAATTCCCACCAGGACTTTCGGTCCACAAACTCACTATGGGGTTTCGCCCCGAATTGTGAATGGGCCAGTTGGAAAGACTAATATTCTTGTACAGACACTGGATTGTATGCACTGTACCATCCTGCCAAAGATGTTCACCACCTACCTCATGATCTGTTATTCCATACGTCCTCAGTGAAGAAAGCGAATCTATCATGACCCAGTAGAACGCAGACGCCAAGGTACGCCAAGGCTTACGATCAAACGACTGGATGTCATATGTGACCCCCTGCATTGATTCTTCTTTAAATAGAGGAAGGTGACGGACAGATACACGTGAATCACTTCTTATACACTTTGTCATGCATTCCGATGGCGGTCATAACGAAATTACCATTCCTGGGCTACAGTTCAGTTGAAGCGAATTCGTAGGGTTTACACCGGTGACAACAAAGCCTCAACTCACTCAGAATCGAATTCACCAAATGTTCGTGCACAAGTATCCCACTTGAGAGACGGTCAGAAACCCTTTAAGCCATCTACTTTGGAGAATGATTGCCACCTCATCTTACCGGACGGTTTTTGTCGGACACCTCGAGAATGTCATGAAGGTGGTCCAGTTTTGACGCAAATACAGACGCAGCGAATTATGCCTCGTTCGATCTTGGTGCTCCTGATGCCTGTCTGTCAGACATATGAACTATATTTTCATGAAAAAAGTGTGCTTGTAATCTCACATCTAAGCTGGACCTAGGCCTGAGACCGGTAGGTAGCTGAGTGGACCACATGCTTGCTTGTGTTGGACAGCTCAGACAGAATGGCGTTCAGGGAGGGGGGGGGGGGGGGGGAGTCAGAGACGGCTTGAGGCAAACGGTGGTCCAGAAAAGAGGGGCTCAGGGGGGGGGGGGGGGGGTGTACGGAGTCAGAGACGGCTTGAGGCAAACGGTGGTGAGCGGAATGTGTATGTGGTGTTCAGGTCTCCCACTAGGCTATGCGGGCACGTGACCGACAGGAATGAATTCCGAGTATGAGTTCACCGGTGCAGCTGATTATTGTGGTCATGCAAAATGCACTGCCGGCTGGTCTTGGGAACGGAATGTTGATCAGACGGAATGCTGACGCAGCACCCAGTGCGACGACAGCCATATTTGACGGAACCGACGTAAACTCACCAACCGGACGATCGGCAGTTCTCATCATGTGCGGTCAGGACGTGAGCGCTGACACCTGGTTGTCCCCATGGCACTGGGGCCAAATTCTCTATTCATAAATGCAAGCCATAAAGACAACATGAGTGAAGCAAACCTAGTGATTGCATTTGTGGGTTGGTCGTTGGTTTGTTCGCTGAGCTGGACAATTTGATTGAAAACGTGTCATCACTAATCGAGGTGACATCATCAGTCCGTTGTTAGGGAGCGTAGTGGGGCGTAGCGATGGTTTGGTGGTTGTGCGTTGAGTGGTGTTGTGTGTGCGCGTGTGTGTGTGTCAATATACATGCTGCTAGCCGGGATTGACCTTCGATCACGACTGGTTGTTCGGTCCGTCGGTTCCATTGGTTGTTCTGTTATCCTGTATCCTGATTAATCGATAGTAGCATACTTTAACAATTAACCTAGACGTTTCACGCAAAAGATAGCATTTTTCGCGTGGACAATTTAAGACTCTCTCAGTATAGTTCAACTGAGGTCCCTCAGTTTTCATAAATGAATATAACCAACGGTTCTGAGATGATTAGTAGTCGCACAAATCTTTCGCAGACAAACAAACTCCAGGCAGGCACCAACTAAGACTAGAGATAAGGTGGATGACCATGGTTCCTTTCTGTGCAATTAGTCACTTATAAAATTAGAAAAAAATGAACTCGAGCTTGGATGGACATTCACTACCCAAAGTAAATTTCACGCCTCCCCATCCTCGAAATTAAACTGGCAAGATCGTTTGACTCGTGTTTTCTTCACGGCTTGTAGCTGTTACAAGGGGGATACTGGTTGTCAGCTTTCGCGTCCTGGCCTCACTTGCGGCCCACTGAGCGCTATCGATCGTCCGGTTGGTGAGCTTACTTTGTTGCCATTAAGTATGGTTGTCTGTCGCACACGATGCTAAGACAGTTTACCATTCGGTTCACGTAGTCTGTCTCTGCTAATCCCAGGACGGACCGACAACGTATTTTCTATCTCCAGGTTCAATTGCACCGGTGCGTTGTCGTGCTCTAGTGACACGGATTGTTTTCCTGTGACTGGCGAGAAACCAGACTGTTGGATAGATCGATTGTTGCCATCTACCATGAGATGAACTTCCATCTTCCATCCATGGAGCAGGAAAAATTTGGCAAAAAACTCAATCCCTTTTTCCGTTTGTTTGAGTTCACTCCTTGTATGATCGCACCCAACAGTCAGCTTACCTAGATTGTGTGTTGAAAACTGTTCGCCTCAGCCGACTGTGACCTTCCCACAGTATACTTTCTCATCCAACATCCCTCCCACCCTAACCCACGTCCCTGTTGGTCTTTTCGCAGTTCGGTGGACTTCGTGACCTAGCCATGTCCGAATTGGGGTAATCAAGCTGATAGGTCAGTGGACTGATCTCTGGCCGAAGCGTATTGCTGACATTTCCAAGCCAAATGTAGGGATTCTAATCCCTGTTAAAAATAGATGGCCAGCAAGTTTCTTGACAGGGCATTACTCCTAAGATTGCTGAAAAATCTCCGACGGCTCATGCCCTGTTTTACCTTTCTCAAATTTCATCAGATGGGTGTAGTTCTCCAGTTTCCGTCGGCTCGATGATCTAACTGAGCACACTACAATAAAATCCGCGTAACTTTAATCCATTCAGACGAAATCCCAACATCAACACGAAGGGTTCAACAATAACGTCGATCACCTTCCTGGATTGACCTTCTCCGTGACTGGGCTTGAGATAGCCTATTCGTTGGGGAGAGAACTTATTGACCGGAAGACCCGGTATCTCGACTGCTCCTTTCAGTCCTTGTGCTTCCTTCGGGTGGCGTGGTAGCTAAACACAAAAGGATGTTACAACTGATTCTGTGATTCAATAGCGATTAGACGGTTAGACAAGATTAGATAAGATTACACTATAATACAAATTACAATGAGGGAGTTACGGGTAACATCAGTACCAGGCGTTAAACTCTCGGTAGTAGTTAACCCCTTTCAAAATTACCGCATGAGATCGCAAAGAATGTCCTCTTCGAAGATTTAATCTGATTAGTTTAATGAGCTCAAGAAAGGAGCTAGAATTGGGTAGATTTCCTTTGAGGTCGGCTTTTCAACATTGAATGATTAGATCAGTAGATAATAGTGATATACTGCGGCCAAACAACTCACCGTCCTTCCACTCCCTGGTTGAGGGGTTGATGATACCGAACAACTCATCATTAGTCACCGCCTTGGGGTCCAAGTCAATAGCGACTGGTTTCTGTTTCTTTATCCGGTAGGTCTGCTGTAACGTCTTCCAAACTTGGGACTTTCCAGTTCCCGCATTACCGACAATAAACACCGAGTGGCGAACATCGAACAGTTCTTGCAATTGAACCACCTTTACAAAATTAGTGGGTTTTGATTTTATACGTCAGAACATATGATTTGCTTATCGTGCATGCATAGATACAAGGAATGAATGGGAAGGAACTCTTACCAGCATGAATAAACATACACTGGACAACATTTCAGAAGGGCATAGTATATAATCAGTGTTTTTTTTTATTTGGGCAACGTTTGGCTTTTGACATAAAGGGTTCATCAGGCCAAGTGAGCAGGTCACCAAGTTGACCAGGTTTTAAGAAAGACAGAACCAATCACGTCTTCATATTAGCGCACTAGATCAGTGTTTGATGTCAATTAACGGCTCTTGTCGGTTAGTGTAAAATCTGGCGTTGATGGGTTGGGGGAGTTTCAAATAACTTCCGATTAGGGAAATACACTCATTTGCAAATCGACTTGGTTTTCACGAGATTCAACTGAATCTCTGGTTTATGATATTCTACAACTGAAAGTGCTGCACACAGGCCGCCTCATGTTTCAGTTGACACGATATTCGAGATATCGCAGTATATTTTCGTAAAGGAAACTACTCAAAAGGTTGCTGAAAACTCTTTGACATCCAACGACCGGTTTCGCCCTTCTTGGGACTCATCAGGTAGGCGCAGTCCCCGACTTTCCGTCAACCTTATGATCTACTTGAACCCAAATTGTACTGTTTTCGAGAAATACACACATTTGTGCCTACCTGATGAGCCCCAAGAAGGGTGAAACCGGTCGTGGGCTGTCGAAGACTTTTCAGCAACCTTGTGGGTAGTTTCCTTTATGAAAAAAGTTCCGATTGGGTTCGGTTCCTTAATCCTCCACTTCAGGATGCTTCAACTTATGATCCACCGCGGATGCCACTGGTAGACTTTGTTGGTCTTTGTGGGCTTGTGAGTGTTGCAACAATTTAGTTGGGGGGAGGGTGGATGACATCAGTGGAATTCAGAAGATGACTCCTCCTCCTTCCGACACCAACACGTGTCAGCTCGACTGATCCAAAACCGTTCTCCACACGCCTACCAGAAGACGTTTTACTGACTGCCTTAAAACCTGGCGAGCTTGCCAACCTACTCGCTTAGGGTGATGAAGCCTTTGTGTCGAAAGCATAACGTTGCCCAAGCAAAAAATTGCCAAGCCATTCTGAAACGATGACTTCTCAACGGTTCCAAACTTTTTTTCCAATTGATTCAATGCACTGGACAGAATCAGGTCTGCTTGTGCTCTTGAGACATGACATAGATTACGCTTTACTGTCAGAGAGAAACTGTACGAACTCACCTGCTGGCTTGATAAAGGGCTTGTTACGCCAACTTTATATATATATATATATATATATATAT